TTTATCATGGAGGTGCTTAGCGTAAAGTTTGCTGATTATGTTAAGCAGCTAAATGGCCTGTAGTTAGCAGAGTCATTTCTCTTTCCCTTCTTAAAGATTGGAACTATAATTGCCAAGCCCCAGTCCTTGGGGACACATCCAGTGGTATCAATATAGGTGAAGAGCAAAGCCAGAAGTGGAGCCCACCACTCTAAGTTATTCTTCAATAGTTCTGGAGGAATAAAGTCAACTCCAGGGGCCTTCCCCCTCCTGAGTTGACTAATAAGGGACTTAATTTCAGACACAGATACTGGGAGCCACTCAGGTAAGACCTCTATCTTTTGCACTGGGGACTCACTAGAGGGATCTTCATACATCCTCTGGAAATGTACTTTCCAAGCTTCAGGAGGAATATAAGAATCCAATGGGGTAGAAGCTCTAGAAACTCGGTAAGATATTAGGTGCCAGAAAAGAGTTTCGTTCTGTTCCTTTGCTGTTTGAATAAGTTGTTCCAGGGGGTCCTTATATCTTTCTTCTTCTTAGAGGCCACTAGTTGCTTATATTGTTTTCAGATTTATGAAGATGATAAGCTGAGGTAAGGGCTTTCTTAGCTTTAACACAATCCTTATCAAACCATGGCTTTGATGAAATTGAAGGATGCTTAACTGAGAAATTGGGGTCACTATATAATGTATATTTTTCAACTTTTCAGGAACTTGCCCTTATAAAAGGGCAAATTTCATTTTCCATCAAATAATAAGCTTTAAAAAAAAAAAGCCCCACCTTCTGGCTTTCAAACAGCAACAACCTAATCCTAAATTGTTATTTGTTCTGAGAAAGGAACATGCAGCCTAATGAGTATTATTATAATATAAATATAGTCTATGACAGTTGCCATATTTAATAATTTCAGAATTACATTACCATCGTTCAATGACAGAAATGTAAAAGCATCGCTGTATACAATATTATTGTGGTTATTTCCTGCTAAAGTTATTCAGGTATTTTGAAGTGCTCTTAGGATTAAGCATTTGGAACTGTATTCCACGCTATTTAAAACAAAATTGCCATACTTCATTTGAAAATCTGACTATGCTGTCTGTAAGCAACTAATTTGGGGATTCAGAACCCCAGATGACCATTAGATGGCAACAAAGAGTTTTCTATATCTCTTTTCTTCAGTCTAGTGGTCACCTGGATTTTTTTCATTCATGTCTGATAGTTTTAATCTTGTGTTACTTGTGTTTCCAAAAAGGAGGTAACATTTTTCCAAGGCTGTTCTTTTCTAGCACCTGTAGAAACAAAGAATAATCTCTGTTAACAGAACATTTAGGGCTTGGTCACTCCTATGACTTAAACCTGAACACATTGCCAGCTGCATAGCATTATGTAAGTTTTTAACTAAAACATTCAGACTGGTCATGCCTTAGCTCTTAGAAATTGATGCCATACAAATAAACAAGAAATCACTATTTGGTACAAGCCCAACTTTTTTCTTTATATAAATGGATCTTTGGCACCATTTAAGTTCCACAAGATTAAAAGAAAAAAAAAATCTTTACCCTAAAACATTAATAAATCAGTCTTTAGATAGAGACACAGAATGTAAATCAGGGTGGCAGTTGGAGAAACCATTTTTTTAGTCCTTCAAGATTTGATTTTTTAAAAAAATTCTTTAAGCTGTTAATTAGTTTTTCCTCTATTTTGGGATGAAGTTTTACTCACCAGGTAGTTTTTCGAACTTGTTTGGGAGTCCTCCTTTAACTTTAGAATAATTATAAATCCAAAAGTGTTTAGAAAGTGAGCATCCTTGTCTTTAGGCTGATAATCATTCTGCTTTATCAACATTCTTTATTTTATCCTTAACTTTTACTAATTTTTAGAAATCTCTCAATTCTTCTTTAAACCAACATAAGGATACCTTGTTTCAGGCATCTGGTCTAAGGCCCCTATTTTGCAAATAATAGGCTTGAGGGATAAAACTTCTCCTCTTGGATGGGCATAAACTCTCTCTTTTGCTTTGGTGAAAGTTATGCAGTAAACACTTGTAAAAAGCAATTGTTGCAATTGTTCTTATTTGTGAACCACTTTCTGGGAGCAAGCTTTCAGGGTGGCAGATCGAGCTACAATCCCGGTGTCTTTCTCCAAGCATCCTGTCATGTCCTCAAAATTGTCAATAGCTCCATCATGTCTTTGAGAGAACAATCAAGTTATCCACTGCCCATACAGGATCCTGATGTTTCTGTTGTAGCAACATTGGCACAAACAAAATAGCCCATTAAGGATGGAAAACCTTCTAAGACTCCTGCCCCTCCTAATTCTGAAAAGGATAAAAACAAGAGGAGATGAGGGCCTTATGCCAACAACTGCAGCTCCAAGAGCCTTGAGTTTTTCTCCACAACAATCTTTTCCAAACAGCCTCCAGTGTTTATGGTCCAGTCTCCATCATCTCATCTTCAGGCAGGGAAGATGATTTTAGAAGGGAGGTTTGGGGATCATGTTTATGATCTATTCCTCTGTAACATCGTCTTATCCATCAGGATAGTCAAACCTTAGACCCTCCATTTTGACCAACTTATGATCACTGAGATCATAGCTGGTCACCTCATGCCCATTCTACTTCTGAAAGGCACATCTCACTGATTTTGATTGATTCCATGTTGCCCCATTTTTCTAGAGGGAGTAATTTGGACCTCTTGGTATCAGTCCTTTTAAAATCGCAATCAGTGGACCCATACTCTCAGAAACAGCCAAAAATATTGCATATTCTGGTCTTCTACTCCATGATCTTGATTTCTGCTACCTAACCATACCTTGGGCATCCCCAGGTCCCTTCTATCTTCCTTGATTTTCCTTAGAGAGAATCTCACATCTCGATACCTAGCCAGTACAGCCTCTTGCCCAAAGATCACCTAAGTCAATTAAATCTTGTGGAGGCTGCTCAGCCTCAGATTTTGTCCATTGCATTGAGCTGTACCATTTATCCTTTAGTGAAGAGGTGCTTATTTCCTTGATCCTGACAATTATGCCTCTGATGTCTCCTCAGGCTATTTAACATCTCCCTTGGCCCAATGTTCTGGTTGGAGTTTCAAGCATTCAGCTCTTCTTTGGAGGGCCTCAACTCTTACAACAAACAAATTGGCACCCCCTTCTGTGCCATGCTCACTCCTCATGAATAACAACAGCATCAGCAGCTTTCCTGCAGGATATTTTTCTTTGGAGTTATGCCAGGCATCTGTGTGAGCTTAGCCCTCCATCTTCATATATTCCTATAGACTGAAGCTCTGCTCTAGAGAGCTTCAAGTTTTGGACAGACTGTCCTCTCCTCCATTACCATATGATGACCAGATCTTTCTCCAGCTAAGAAGCTTTCTATTCACCCATGTATATGTAACAGAGAAACCACGGTAAGCAGAACTGGTAACTTATGAGTTCTATCCTGCCAAATCTTTCCAGACTTCCCAGAAATAAACTATACATGCAGTTCTTCAAGTTATCATTAGTGAATTCACATTCTTACTCCCTTGCTTGATTGTAGGTGATGTGATTGTTCTTTCAGATCCACTAAATTAGTTTTAAGAATCAATGAGGTATGGTGGAAACTCTGCTATGTTGTGTGGTAAGTGTGCGGGGCTCTTCACTAAGAATTTTTGTAAACTATTCAGGATTCTAAACCTACTAAACTCTTTGGATGTGTATAACCCATATGTATATTCATAGACGACTTACCAAAAAACTGCAGTTACAGGTAAGTGATCAGTTCTTGGCAGGGGATAAATTGAAATAGAAAGTTTTTATAACATCCATGAGATTATTTGGATGTTTAATACTGAACACATAGCTCATGATTATGGTTATTGAAATGTTGCTCAAAATAGATTGTGTGGAACAAGTTATTCATATGAAGAAAGTGATAATAATAGCTAGCGTAACATAATTAACAATAAAAACTGAGGGTGTAAGGGCTGAAGCTAGTGAGGTGTAAACCAGCAGTTTCCAAGCTAGAGAGAGCCATTACATCAATATATCTCAACTGCTTCCCAAGGCCCCAAATGATGGCTAAATATCTGTTACTTCTGAAGGATAAGAGGAAGAAGCCTATAGTTTAGACACTGGAATGAATGAGTGTACAGTGTATGTGTGTGTGTATGTTAGTGTGTATGACTTCTTTGGCCTGCATTGGGCAAACAATTGTTGTATTTAAGGACTCGTCTTGACTAGAGTAAAGTTTCTGATTTAACGTAATCATACATGTAAGACTAATAATTTGTGTTACTGTTTCTCTGCAGGTACCTGCATAAGAACAAATATCTAAAAGTTATTGATGAAGATGCATTTTTGGGTGTTCAAAGTGGTCCAAGCCTACTGTGAGTATTGGGGGAAGAATATATACTGTTATACAAAGGTAATATAAGTATTGGGTAATGATTGTCAGGTTTCTGATTATTTTAATAATTATAATGCTAAAGGCATGAGCGTGACCACTCATGCACTCATCTCGGATCATGTTCTTGCTGGAAGTTGGCTAGGACATGATACAAGGCCTACAGACTGTAGAATTTTTATCTTAGGAGGCCTGGTTAGTCCTCTCATTGTGTTTTTAGTTTTCCCCTGCCTACCCTATAGCCCTGACACTTTCTAGAGATAGCACACCAAAGTACATACCAGGGTTTTAACAAAACAGTTTGAGTTTAGTAAAGGTTGGCTAAGTCCTGCCACCTGCTGTTGGCTCATGGAAGAAGAAATAATATATAGTTCAGAAGGTGGAGACTACCATCATGAATAATAGATTGGTGTTTATGTTCGTTCTTGTGAGAACTTTTACATACTTGTTTCAGTTTCTAAGTATGTGTCTTAATCCAAGACAAACTTGATTTGCTCAGCAGGACAATAAAATTAACCCAGCCAGTGGCAGCGTAGTCTATGTATTAGCAGGAAAATATATAACTGTTTATATTTCTTTTCCTAAATGTAGATTTTCTCCATATAAGAAACTCACATTTATGAAATGCTTCTGAATTTTTCTTAGCATAGAAGCAGAAGGATGGAAGCAAGCAGGAGATGGTTGATGATCTGCTCTCCTTATAACTCCTTTATCTTCTTCCCTGTCCCAACCAGATATAAGCCCTCAGTTGTAATCCATAGGATACTACTTAGAAGCTCTTTTAGAGAAGGGCTGTAGAACAGAAAAAAAAAAAATCTCCTAAAAGGGAACAATAGAACAGTAGATGAAGTAATAGAATGACTTGAACCATTGTAGATGCAGTTTATATTCTGAGGATAGTTATAAAATCGGGGATCAGATTCAAATCCAGATCACTTCCTACTAAGCCAAAACCAGACCAATCTCATTCTAGCTTATCCATTTGAATCAATTAACTGTTACTTTCAGAACAGAGGTTGCACCGGTCACGCCACCTATTGGTGCAACCACTTTTATGATACCATCAGCTATTCCTCTTCTCCTTCTCCAGTCATGATGCTTTATCCTCAGACACAAGCAAGCAGTGCAGCAGAGGGAACTGAAATCAACAACTCTGTCACACATTAGAAGATCATGACTTTGCTCCCCTTTGCAATAGAACTTGGTGAAAATTCTGAGGCCCAGGAGAGCTACTTATTGTGTCAGCCAGCACTGCTGCCTCAGCTCTAAACAAAGAGTTCAAGATCTGGACAAATTCAGCAAAAACAAAATGAGCTTAATGACTTGATCATATTGTGTGGCACATACTGTTCCAGATTTATCTCTGATATTATGAGCACAAATGAAGCATTTGTTCCAGTTCTAAACCTGCCTTCCCTAAAGAGGCTTCATTTTCATCCTGAGGATAGCTATAAACAGTTTCGAGAAATACTCTGGGTGGTTCTTTTTGGATTTACTGATATTTTGACTGGGAAAATGTGATATACTATATTTGCTTATTTGCTGTTTAAATTCTTTACTTTATAGCTATTTTCTGTATCCTAACTGTTTAATATCTAAATGCTTAGTATCTAATTGTGTGATATTTTTTTTTAAAGAGAAATTAGCTGTTTTTGTTAGACTTGTTTTCTGAGCAATGCCTTTTCCATAGTCTGGCAGCTGGCTTGTGTGTGTATGTGTGTGTTCTCTGTGTCGATATTTTTATGTACTTCCTCTGTTATTTCTAGTTTTCTTTGGACCTTTTTAAAATACATTGTCTCTCAGACTTTTCATTCCCCTGATTCCTGCCTTCATTTTCCTCCAGGCCTTTCAATCAGATTAGATCTTCCTTCTGAAATTCATATCTCACTTCCCTTCTACCAGAGTTGATGAACTTGAGGTTGATTTCAACTGAAGTGCCATGACTGGTTCCAAATTTATTCTGGGGATAAATACAAACTATTTAAAAACTTGCTACTTTCTCCTCAAGATGATAAACACTGACGGTGGAATGAAGTTGTCCCCTCTCCTCTCAGTTCTTTTTCTGGTAGGGCAATCTTTGATTCCCTCTTTCACTGACTTAGAGGATCAGTTGATTGTGAACAATGAAAACTTTATTTAACAGTAACATCATTATTAACAGATAACATAGTTGTTATAAGTTGTTTCTGTTTAAACAGGTACATGCTTAATTACAGACTAATTACAGCTCATCCTGAGGGTGTTTTTATATGTACAAGTAGTCCTAATTTAACAACCACAATTGGGACTGGCAACTCAGTTGTTAAGTGAAGCAATTGCTAAGTGAAACATCACAATTTTACTTTAGCTTTACTTTGCTTTACAGACCTGCAAAAGTTGAAAATGTGAGGACTGGTCACAAAGTTACTTTTTCGTCACTATCGTAACTGTGAATGGTCACTAAACAAGTCAATTGCTAAATGAGGACTACCTGTACTACTCAACTTATTTTCCTCTTCCTTTCCTTTCCCTTTTTACTCTGTTCAACTTTCAGTTGCTTCTTTTCTTAATCCTGTCTCCCACAAACAAACATACACACACACACACACCAAGTTCTCATAGCCATAGCTTTCTGGCTGCTTTCCTTATAAGGAAGGAAATATTTGTTTTCTTGCACTGTAACACAACAACAAATTACCATTTCACCACACATTCTCCAACCTTCCCCTTCAAGCTTAGTACTGCTAAGGATGAAACAAAACAGCTTCTTCTTCCTTATGTGTTACTTTTAAAAAATCTTGTAATATTTCTTGTTTTGATAAAGCATTGGCAATCACATTATTCTTCCCACTGCTGCTTCTGTTGCTTTTCTTTCCCTTAATTTCTTCCCTTTCTCTTCAACTTTATTTCCACTGAGGGCAGCATCACCACCATTACTGGCAGCCAGTTCTGGTTCAGTTTTCTTAGTGTCATTGTTTTTCTCTTGGTTTCTCTTTTTTCTAACAAGGCAGGAAATACCTGTAACTCCATCAGCTGTCTGCCCAGCTGGAATTATTGAAGTTTTACCACTTTCAGTCCCTTGAGAAAAATATGCTAGCCAGCATTGCTTTCAGAGAATTTCCACCACTCTTGCACTTTTTTGAGACTTTTCCATTATTTTTGTCTAATTTTAGGAAGCACCCTCTTTAGTTCCTCTTTTCCTCTTATCCTCAGCTACTAACTCTCCTTTGGTGTTTATTTGTTTAGTCAACCTAACCATTCTTTTATCAATGACCTTCATTGATTTGCTGAATAGCAGCACTAGTTCATCATACTGACTGTTGGATTAAGATCTCTTCCTGACAACCACATTAATGTGGCTTCCTCCCATACTTGAGCTGGGAGGAAAGCATATCAACATAAATTGTGCTGTCCTCCCAGCCTAACTTTACCACACCTCAGCCATGAGTTGTTGTCCTCACACAGTTTAATGTGGGGTAGTCTCAGGGGTGTCATTTCCCTTTCAGTATCACCAACTGGAAAGAGAATCAAGCACTAACAATTCTTCTGAACAAGTGCCAAGGTGGGGCTGAGGGTTGAAGCCTTAACTTTTATTATTTATTGTGTGCTTCTTCTGATAGGACCATCAACCTTCTGGAAGCTGATAGTCCTATGAAAAAATTTAATAGAAATATTTGATTCAGATCTGCAGTATACTGCATCACCTCTAAATGGCAGCATTGGGATCCAGTGTATCCCAAGCCTTTCCAAATCCATTTCTGGAAACCCTTTTTCTTCTCACTGTCATGAAAGCACAGTGAAGGAGCAATAGTACCAAGATCTTTTTATGACGTTAGAAGGAAATTTCCAAGTATGAATTTAGCAGTGGAACCAGTTACCAAGATTAGTGAGCTCCCTTTCATTGGATGGGCTGTACAAGGTACCTGATAAGAATGCTTTAATTTGGATTTTTGCATGGAGCAGGCAGTGGACTTAATGTTCTAAATGTCCCCTTTCAACATAAGTGTTCTGTTTCTATGCTTTTCTGCTCACAAAATAGAATATCTACCAAATTTTGTGATACCTAGGAAACCCTCCTGAGGACTTTAGAATTATCTCTTAGTCATATAAACAGGGCATAAATTAATAAAAATAATATAATAGCAAACAAGGGAGCAGGATATAAGAAAACACAAGAGAGAACACAACATTTTAAGAATCAAATTCTAATTTGTGTATTAGACTGAAGCCTTTATAAAATTTCATTTTGGATTTGATGGATTTGTTTCTCTGTAATTATATAAACACATTTTATTTAAACTTATAAACTTCATGTATACATGAATTCAAATAGCCCACATTTGTGACATGTTAAATAACTCTCCAACATCAGTAGATTGTCATATTTCATGGTGACTCACACTTTTTCATCAAAATGGAAATAATTTATTGAACATTCACACACAAATACTAATTTATTTGGGAATTAACATACAAACTCAGATGGAGAATATATTTAATTCAGTAAGTATTCTTGATTGTATAATCAGAGCAGGAGCAATTATTCAATCACAGAAAGGAAAAATTATGTGATTAACATGTTTGTTTCTAGCATGTGGATTGGTTCTCTACTTCTAAATATTTAAATTACAAAAATAAAGAGAGAAGGGAAAACATCATTTATCAGCTATGGCAAGGAAAATGTTGCCAGGAAAATGTCAGGAACTAGACAGCTAAATGATCACAGGAACCAGTTAAAAGGAGGAAAATTGAGGCAAAATTGATAGACTCCTAGAGAAACAGAGTAAATGCTGGAACATATAGAAAAGGAGTTCCAGAAAAAGAGGGTAGAGTTACAAACATTATTTTTCTGGGATTCTGATAATTTTTTCAAGTGCAGTTGATATGTTGCACAGGATAAAACCTAGGCTAGACTCTATATTCTTGACATGTTACTTTGCATCCCAATTTAAAGAAACCAGATATAGGTCCCTTATTGTCTGTGAGGGTTACATTCCAGTCTAGAAACTATAGATAACAAGACCTTGGAAAAATGTACTTTATGTATGTGCAAAAGCCTTTCCACCATTTTCTGCATGAACAATGCCAAAAAACACAGATATATAAAAACCTGTGCCTCAAATATTCAGATCTGGTCTCTTTTTAGAAATCATGGAAATGTGAAACCATGGCTAATGGAACCCCAGATAACAAGGGACATCTGTACTGATTCAATCTTGAAACACACACGAGGAGTCTCCTGAGTTCAAGGCTTTCTCTCTTTTTCTCTGGGTGAGAAGTTGGTTCCAAGAGGTTTAGACCAGGCATAGTTAGTGGGCACCACTAGAACAGAGATGCCAAAGCATCTTAGAAAAGCAACAAGGATCAGACAAAGGCTGGGTCAGTCTCAGAACCTGATTAGAAGAGAAACTGAATTCTTGGAAGGTTATGTCTTTCCAAATGAAATTCCCATTAGATTACCCTAGAGCAGGGATCAAAAGTTGTATCCTGCCAAAGGAATTCATGCAACCCTCCCAACATCCTTGTGACCTACAAAATGTAGCTTTTATGACTACGCCAATTTCCAGGCTGTACTTAACCATGCAAATTTTACATCTATCCATGTTGTCTAAGCAAATCCCTATGGTTTAATTAATTTTGTTTTGTTTTTTAAATTGGGATGGTCAGAGTGGCTTCAGCACTGTACATTCAAACCACTATTCTGGTTGTGTTTTTAAACAGTGTAAACATCAGATGAGAGTATTAATATTTATACTGAAGACTAATATTCTGGAAGGTGCAGTTCTTCACATTCCACCACCATGAAATCATGGAATATGAAAAGAGTAATTTACATTAGAAGCCCCTTACAGCCTGTGTAAAATATACTTGGGAACAGAATGCATCCAATACATACTAAGCATCTGTTTTGCTCATCTAACTATTAATTTTAGCAGGGTTATTATTGTACTGGTTTGTACACCGGAGCACCTAAGAAAACTGACTTGAGAACTTTGAATCCTTCTGAACCTTAAAGAATGCCGGTGTGATTAGTTAAGCAAAGTCTTATTTAAGAGTTTCTTGTTGGCTCTTCATACACAGAATTTTACAGCTGTTTATTTGTAAATGTATATGTTGCTTTTCATGGGATTATAGAGCAGTTTGCAAAGAGAAAATAAAAGAAAAAAATCACAAAAATGACAGAACAGCAGATTGTTAAAAGCAATAATAGAAGTTCAGAATTAATGGCAGCAAATATGTCAAAGAAGATGAGAATACTGCAGCACATTGTGGATAGAGATCTCCAACATTAGTGTTACCACTTTGTTTCACAAAATGAGGTAGCAATCAAAGCATAGCATCTCCTCTAATTGAAGTGGTGGACTGACAAATTCTAGATGAGCACTTGATTGTTTCATTAGATTAGAGCAGTGTTTCTCAACCTTAGCAACTTTAAGTTGCATGGACTTCAACTCCCACAATTCCCTAGCCAGCATGGCTGGCTGGAGAATTCTGGAACTTGAAGTCCACCCATCTTAAAGTTGCCAAGGTTGAGAAACACTGGGTTAGGGTCTGAGGAGAAAGGGCCTATTATATACGTAATGGGGACCTGCATACAGATCAGAATAATAGGAGCTCAGAAGTATAAATCCTTAAGTTTCCACTTAGTCAGCCACTGAGGAGGTGAAGCCAAAATGGTCAAATAACAACCCCCGCAAGACTCCTGTAATACAATTCCTATATGTTCACTTGCATTAAAAATATAATTTACTGAATTCAAATTGCAAATAATAATTTGGTCACCATATTCTTCACTGTATTCCATTTGTCATTCTCTTTCATATCTTCAAATATAATTCTTGTTTAATACCTGTTGCAGGATAATTACATTCTGTTTCAGTTCAATTAAGTTTTTTTCAAGTCTGTCTTTGGTAATAGATGAAAACAAGCTTCAGGGTCCTATATCCTCCTCATGAAGGAATCTGCATCTTTTTCTTGCAAAATTGAGTGGGCTGATCACACAGTTGAGATGTTCTGGGATACATACGAGTTGCTGAACTGTGACTGGGATGGACTCAGGTTCATTTGCATCTTCTGCCATAGAAACCTGTCAGGCCTAGCCCAAGGAACTCCAAGAGACC